CAGCTCCTGAAACTGCACCATCATTCCTCCTTTGGGTACTTGGGCAGAAGTGGTTGGTATTCACCTCTTCTTCCGGGGTGTCCAGCTAGACTGCAACCCCCCAGGCTCCTGCAGGTAGGTGTGCACACGTGACTAAATTCTGGCCAAAGGCATGTGAGCAGAAGCAGTAAGTACTATACCCAGGTCTGACCTATAAAATACCAGGCTCTCAGTGTTGACTGCATGAGTGACTGAATGAATGACTCCCACCAAGGGCACCACTGACTGTCCCAGGCTCTAATTTTCTAAACCAAATAGTGTTATCAGTTGAATTATGCTCTCCACCTCCCCACAAATGGTGAGATCCTAACCCCCGGGATGTTAGAATGTCACCTTCTGCAGATGAAGTTAGTTAAGATGCAATCACTGCGTGAGATGGGATTACTATAAAAAGGGGGGAATTGAGACACAAAGACACGCTCCATAAAGGGAAGACTGCGAACAGACACAGGGAGAGGCAGCCATGGACAAGCCAGGGAGAGAGATCTGGAACAGATCCTCCCCTCGCTGCCCTGGGGAAGTACCAGCCCAGCCAATACTGTGACTGCAGACTTCAAGCCTCCAGAAGGGTAAGAAACTAAATGTTTGTTGGGTCACCCAGTCTGCAGTGCCTGGTTACAGGAGCCCTAGCAAACTAGAATGCAGAGTACTCAACCTAGCTCTGTGTGCAAAGGCGATTTTTAAGGAGATCACCTAAGTGAAAAGAGTAAACTATTACTCTTCTGACAACAGACTGATTTTTAAGGGAAGCTGGTCCCTAAGGTTGGTTCCTGAGTTATACAGCCAAGGTCCCGTCTTGACTGGGCAGTCTCGGCTGCCCTGAGGCCCGTTAGGAGGTAGGAGCCGGCACTCCAGTTCTCACCTAGTCTTGGCTGCCGCTTGTGCAATCCTAACGAGGTCACTTCCCCTTTCCCCCTGCTTCCTCCCCTTCCGTGAAGCGTTGGACGGTGACTTTCAAGAGTTGACTAGCACTGTGTTCCGAGACACCAACAGAAGGACTCCAGAGTCCCCGAGTGGCGCTGCCTTTCCACGAAAGAACGTCAATTTCTCTGCAGAGCTGTGAGCATGCGCTCCTGCTCTGCTGCGGGCCTGTCACAATGGCTGCCACCAAGGACATCCAAGGTCAGCCAGTGAAGAAGACAACTGCACACCCATCTAAGAGGGAAAAAGCCTGATGCCTTTAGATCACCGAGCCTCCCAGCAGAAATAAAAAGCAAACAAAGAAAGAAAAGAAATAGGCGGGGGCTCCACACTAATCCTGAAATCCTGACGTAGGGCCTGAGGTCGGGAGTGGGGACTTAAAAAACTATGGTTGTGATAATAAATAAATAAATAAATAAATAAATAAATAAATAAAGAAAATATAATACAAAACTACTAGAAATTAAGATATAATTTTATATTAATTTTATTGTTCACATAGCACTTACATAAGTTTTAAAAATAATGTGTCCAAATTTTATGTTTTCAACTATAGATCCTCAAGATATGTAAATAAACTCTGTTATATCTCAAAAAAAAAAAAAAAAAAAAAAAAAAAACCACTGCGGTGACTCTACAGTGCCACCTGGGCTGGGAAGCACTGGTTTAGGGTATCTGACTGCTTTAAGATTTCAGCTTAATTTCCCACCATCTCATATTTACATTCTTCCAAGCAAGCTTCCAGACTGCACCTGTGGATGTGCCTGACACAGACAATGCCTCACACACTACTTGTTAAGACACACAAACGTTTGAACACAGAGAGGTTCCTTTCCTGCTCATGGGAACCCCAGGCCAGCTGAGTTCCCTCTCCTTCACGACGCTTCTCTCACAGGCTCCTTTTTCTTACTTGCTCTTGTTTAGTCTTTTCTCTCTGTCGCTCTTGCACAGACCTACACATTGTTGCCCCCAGGGGTCTCTGCTGCTGCAAAGGCATCAACAGCCCCTGATGACAGCACTGCCCTTCAGCCCCCACCCTCGGGGAGCTGCTCCTCAGCCTGGTGCTCCTAGTTTCCACCAGGCAGTCTGACTCACACCCCTGGCTTCTCCCTGCTCCTGCGCGGCCCGGGCAGTGATGGCACCTCGAGCCCGCACCTTCTCAGGCTGCCTGGGCACTTCCTCTCCTGAATGCGGCTGCTGCTCTTCCTCTCCCACCCCCACAGCACACCCAACATCACTAATACCATCTCGAAAACTTCAGGCCTTCCCCTGCCTAATGTACTGTCAGCATCTTAATATTTTTCTTTAAATCTACCCATTGTTTTTACTTAAATTTACTTGAAACATTAACTTGATCTTGCTAAGTATAAAAATAGTGTGTGTGTGCACATGCTAAGTCATGTCTGTCTCTTTGCAACCCCATGGACTGCAGCCCGCCGGGTTCCTCTGACCATGGGATTTGGGAAGCGTAGAAATGCAGAGAACAAATCTCTATAGAGGCCCTGCCTGCCCAAGCTCTGAGCTTAAGGCCCATTCATTCTCCTGGGAGCTGAGTGAGTGTTGGAGATGCATTAAAACCATCCCAGGACCAAATGGAAACTTTCCCTGCAGGGCAGGCACATGACAGAAGGCATGGGAAATGGGAGCTGCCATCCTGCCACGCAATGTCTTGTGAGGATGTCTGGGGTCCTTCCTGTGGTCCCCATGCCAGCACTCCTACACCGACAGTGACGTCCCAATCTCTGGGAAAGCCTGACTGATGAGAACATGCTCTGCCTCCAAGGCCCAGAACAAATGCCTCCTTCATAAAGCCATTTCTCACCAGCACGACCAGAAGTTCTCTGGCCCCTCAATTCCAATAACATCCTTACATCCACTTGGCAACTGGCCTCAAGAAACAAAGAAGGGAATGGCAACCCACTCCAGTGTTCTTGCCTGGAGAATCCCCATGGACAGAGAAGCCCGGCGGCGAGTCCACAGGGTTGCAAAGAGTTGGACGCAACTTAGTGACTAAACAACAACTCAAGAAACAAAGTAGAATACAATTTTTCATATAACTTGATTCCTGCAGGACTGCAGTCTCCTTAAGCGCAGGGACCAAGTCATCCACATCCCACTTTCCCTGGGAACCCCTGTAACATCGTCTTTAATACCGGAGACATAATCAATACTGGATGATAAACAACACGGATTGATTCCTAAATGCATTCTTTAAATTTCTCTTTTTTTGGTAAACGCTTAATGAGAAAGATTCCAAATGTTGTGATGGGCTTGATCCATAATCACCCCAAAGCGGAAACTACTATACGTCCCCAACTTCTTCACCACCCATCACCTTCTGTCTGCCTTTGAGCCTCAAATTAATGAAATCACATTTCAGTGCGTCCTCCTCTGCGTCTGGCTTCTTTGCGGAGAAGTCATTCTGAAACTAAAGTCATCCAGCCTAGCTGGAAGCTGCCCCCAGCTTCCCACTGCTCTGAGAATAAAATCCACAAGCCCCCGTGTGGCGACCCAGGCCTACAGAAGGTGAACCCTGCCTAACCCTCCACCTCACCCACTTCTCCTCTCCTGTCCCCACCCTCCACCACACTTTCTGTTCCTTCAACTAGCAAAATCCTCTGCCACTTCTGAGCTTAGGCGCAAACCTTCCTCAGCGGGGTCCTTCCTGCCCTCAGGTCTTAACTCAAACCTGCAGGGGCGCCTCCACTGACCACTGGGAGGCCTTCCTCCCTCTGGTACCTCGGCCTCTGTGTTTCCTTCCTGGCCGCTATCACAATCAGCATTACCTTGCTCATTTATCTGAGTGTCTCTCCAACTGGAAAGTGGGCTCCATGAAGGCAGGGACTGAATCAATCTTACCTACCGTGCACCCCATTCCACAGTTGTCAGGATGGGGCTGGCCCATGACAGCTGTCTTATGAAAGCTATTGAATCAAAGAGTAACTCACAACAGGGAGAAACCATCCTGGGAAGCCTAAGGAAACCCAAGCAGAGCTAATATGGGTGGAAATGCAGTCAGTTGTTGGCATCCATGACATTAAAATAAATGCCAGGTTCTTCACGGACAGGCGGAACACCAAGACACAGAGGTCCTAGGCTGCGCAGCAACCCCAGAGAGCAAAGTCCTCTGCACCCTCTCATGTGAGCTGAGCGGGCACTCTTACATCTCATGTGTGCTCACGAGTATGAGCATCTACTGAGGACGTGCAACATGCCTGGAGAGAACAAGGCAAGGGTGAAGAGACAGACAAGCCCTGCTCCCTCTTTCAAACGTGTACCAGTGGAGCACAGGGGATGGTGAGGGTGGTGAAGATACACTGTGTGAGGCTGCAGTGAGACACACATCATTACATACTTGTCCCAGCTCAAGGGATGCTCACTGCCAAGCATGAACCTTAACATAAAGGGGACTCAGGTGATGGTGAAGGATCAAGATAGGTTCATTAACTGGAACAAATACACCATTGGTGCGGATGTGGATACAGGGGGATGCCGTGCACATATGGGGGTAGAGGATCTGTGAGAAACCCTTTACTTTCCTCTTAATTCTGCTATGCATGTCAAACTGCTCTGAAAATAAAGTCCTATTTATAAAAATAAAAAAGAAAATGAGAAAGAAGAAACTCTCATAGTCCAATGGGAAAAGTACCACACAACCAGCAAGTACATTCTGATGAGATCTGTGGGATAACCAGGTGCCCAAGGAATGGGGAAGGAGGCTGGGTTCACACAGGAAGCAACGGCTCTGAACTAAGGTTCTGGGAGCAGGCCTTCGCCCGCTAGAAAGAATAAAGGCACCAGAGAGGACAGGTGGGCAGGGACACGCACCAGAGGTGGTCTGAGTCTCTACCTCCAAGGAGGGGATGGAAGATGGATTCAAAGCAAGGATGGGGATGGAAGGGTTTTATGCAGAGAAGCAACTGATGAGATCCATGTCTCAGAAAGAATTAAAAGATGCTGAAGTAACACACGAGGGAGGAAGCCCAAACCATCTGATGTCTTCAGCTACTGAGAAGGAACAAATGATGTCAACAACTCACCGTGTGACAAACTTCTGCTTTGATCTCTTTTAGGGCTCGCTCAGAAAACACGCAACCACAGCACCGGAGGAAGCAAAACCTGGAGAGAGAATACAACACGGAGAATGACTTAAATAACAACTCAAAAATTACCACCCACATTATCGATTAATATTTATTCTGTTTACACAAAGGCCAAGAACCAAAGAGAAAAATGGTTATATCTGACTTCCTTAAGAAAAAAAAAAAAAAAATCAGTGTGTCCTAAATAAATAAATAAGTACAGACCCACACATGAGGTATCCCCCCACTTTTTGAAAGTTTGCTTTAGACTACTTCATTTTTTTTTAAGACTACTTCATTCTTTACAAAAGACTTACACTTTCATTTTTTCAAAAGACCTACATGAGCACCTATTTTTACTAATGGAAAGAAACTCAAACTGAATTTTTGCTTTTATGAAACAAGGCGAAAAAGTAGAAAATAGCATTCAGTGTTTGTTTTGCAGAGAGCTATTATATAGGTAGCTTGCACTCCAAACTCGTTCCAGCTAACTACATTCACCATCTCAGCATCAAGCTGCCACAGCTCTCAATTATGTCTGTGAGCATCAGGCCTTTATCCCTATTTATTCTGTGCATGTGAAAAGCAAGGTGTGTCCTAAGGTAACTGCTTCTTCATTTTGTAAGAAAAATTCTTATAAAAATTCATACAAATTTAGGGAAAGCTCTACTTTTCAGATAGAGGAGAACCCCACATATTGAAATTGAAACCACAAACACAGGCCACAGTTCCACTCCTACCCTCCTTGCAATAAACTTTTGGAAAAAACACTAATGATAAAAATAAATAAATGCATTTTAAAAAAACTCCACAAAAGTCAAAAGACAGAATAGGAACTCAGGGAGAAAATAATTTAAATATATATGAGATTCATAGTTGTTTTTTTTTGGCCACTACATGCAGCATGTGGGATCTCAGTTCCCCAACCAAAAATTGAACCCAGGTTCCCTGTATTGGAAGCACAGTCATAACCACTGGACCATCAGGGAAGTCCCAAGATTCAGGGTTTATGAATATTCAAAAGTCTTTTTAAAAAAAGCAATAATAAACAATACAGAAAAATGGGCCAAGGGCCTTAACATGTGGTTGACAAGAGAAACATAAACATAAGAACACATAAAAGATGCTTAACCCCCATCTATTAATTACAGAAATGCATTTCAAACAAAAACACATACTGTTTTACCGATCAGGCAGTAATGAAAGAGTCTGAAGGTGACCAGTTGGAAACTGTCTGAGGAAACAGGCACATCTGTGGGTGGGTGGGTATGACACACTACAACATTTCAGGAGGACAACTGGCAGCATCGGGCAAAGCATCACTCTTCTGAATTTCTCCTACAGAAACATTCCCTATGAAAACAAGTGTTCAGCTCAGTCGCTCAGTCATGTCTGACTCTCTGTGACCCCACAGACTGCAGCACGACAGGCTTCCCTGTCCATCACCAACTCCCAGAGCTTACTCAAACTCATGTCCATTGAGTCAGTGATGTCATCCTCTATTGTCCCCTTCTCCTCCTGCCTTCAATCTTTCCCAGCATCAGGGTCTTTTCAAATGAGTCAGTTCTTCGCATCAGGTGGCCAAAGTATTGGAGTTTCAGCTTCAGCAGCAGTCCTCCCAATGAATATTCAGGACTGATTCCTTGAGAATGGACTGGTCTGTCTCCATGCAGTCCAAGGGACTCTCAAGAGTCTTCAACACCACAGTTCAAAAGTATCAATTCTTCAGTGCTCAGCTTTCTTTATAGTCCAACTCTCACATCCATACACGACTACTGGAAAAACTATAGCTTTGACTAGATGGACCTTTGTTGGCAAAGTAATGTCTCTGCTTTTTAATATGCTGTCTAGGTTGGTCATAACTTTTCTTCCAAGGAGCAAGCGTCTTTTAATTTCATGGCTGCAATCACTATCGGCAGTGATTTTGGAGCCCAAGAAAATAAAGTCTGTCACTGTTTCCACTGTTTCCTCATCTATTTGCCATGAAGTGATGGGACCTGATGCCATGATCTTACTTTTCTGAATGTTGAGTCTTTAAGCCAACTTCTTCACTCTCCTCTTTCACTTTCATCAAGAGGCTCTTTAGCTCTTCTTTACTTTTTGCCATAAGGGTGGTGTCATCTGCATATCTGAGGTTATTGATATTTCTCTCAGCAATCTTGATTCCAGCTTGTACTTCATCCAGTCCACAGTTTCTCATGATGTACTCTGCATATAGGTTAAATAAGCAGGGTGACAATATACAGTCTTGACGTACTCCTTCCCCTATTTGGAACCAGTCTGTTGTTCCATGTCCAGTTCTAACTGTTGCTTCCTGACCTGCATACAGATTTCTCAAGAGGCAGGTCAGGTGGTCTGATATTTCCATCTATTTAAGAATTTTCCAGAGTTTGTTGTGATCCACACAGTTAAAGGCTTTGGCATAGTCAATAAAACAGAAGTAGATGATTTTCCAGAACTCTCTTGCTTTTTCGATGATCCAATGGATGTTGGCAACATGATCTCTGGTTCCTCGGCCTTTTCTAAATCCAGCTTGAACATCTGGAAGTTCACGGTTCATGTACTGTTGAAATGTGGCTTGGAGAATTTTTAGCATTACTTTGCTAGTATGTGAGATGAGTGCAGTTGTGTGGTAGTTTGAACATTCTTTGCCATTGCCTTTCTTTGGGACTGGAATGAAAACTGACCTTTTCCAGTCCTGTGGTCACTGTTGAGTTTCCCAAATCTGCTGGCATATTGAGTGCAGTACTTTCACAGCATCATCTTTTAGGATCTGAAATAGCTCAACTGGAATTCCATCACCTCCACTAGCTTTGTTCGTAGTGATGCTTCCTAAGGCCCACTTGATTTCGCATTCCAGGATGTCTGGCTCTAGGTGAGTGATCACACCATCGTGGCTATCTGGGTCATGAATATCTTTTTTGTGTAGTTCTTCTGTGTATTCTTGCCACCTCTTCTTAATATCTTCTGCTTCTGTTAGGTCCATACCATTTCTGTCCTTTATTGTGCCCATCTTTGCATGCAATGTTCCCTTGGTATCTCTAATTTTCTTGAAGAGATCTCTGGTCTTCCCCATTCTACTGTTTTCCTCTATTTCTTTGCATTGATCACTGAGGAAGTCTTTCTTATCTCTCCTTGCTAGTCTTTGGAACTCTGCATTCAAATGGGTATACCTTTCCTTTTCTCTTTGCCTTTCGCTTCTCTTCTTTTCACAGCTATTTTAAGGCCTCCTCAGACAACCATTTTGCCTTCTTGCATTTCTTTTTCTTGGGGATGGTCTCGATCACTGCCTCTTGTAGAGCGTCATGAACATCCGTCCATAGGTCTTCAGGCACTCTGTCTATCAGATCTAATCCCTTGAATCTATTTCTCACTTCTACTGTAAAATCATAAGAGATCTGATTTAGGTCATACCTGAATGGTATAGTGGTTCTTCCCTACTTTCTTCAATTGAAGTCTGAATTTGACAGTAAGGAGTTGATGATCTGAGCCACAGTCAGCTCCTGGTCTTGTTTTTGCTGACTGTATAGAGCTTCTCTATCTTTGGCTGCAAAGAATATAATCAATCTGCCCAGGTGTAGTCTTCTCTTGTGTTGTTGGAAGAGGGTGTTTGCTATGACCAGTGCGTTCTCTTGGCAAAACTCTTGTTAGCCTTTGACCTGCTTTGTTTTGTATATTAAATATACAAACTAACCCCAAAAGCAATTTTCTAGTGTGGAGGTCCTACAAATAGCACCAGGGAAAAGCCAAAACAGGCAAAGCTCAATGAACTGAGAAGAGAAAAAGGAGAAGAGATTAACTAGCAAGTGAAAAGAAAATCTAGGGGAAACCACAATCGGAGCAACGTACTGCAGGTAACCCCTGCTCAAGACCCCGGAGCTGAGACTGTCTCTGCTAAGTTCCTCTTTTGGGGTGAACCACAGTTTTCTTAAAAAGAAGTGGGAAATCAGATATAAAAGGTCACGTAGTGTGTAAGTCTATGGAGGCAGGGGGAGGAACGGGGAGGGACTGCTTAATGGGTAGGGGGTTTTTGAACTAGATGGAGCTGACAGCCGCACAACACTCTGACTGGAGCAATACTAAATGCCACTGAAACATACACCTTAACATGATCAATTTTACATTATGAACTTTACCTCAAAATACTGTGTATGTACACAACACACACATACAACAAGGTTAGTTACAAATCTCATTCCTCAGAATATCTCTCGTGAACTTTGGCCTTTCATTTTATTTACTTTTCTTTTTTTCAGCTTTATTTAGGTATAACTGACAAACAGGAATTGTATATATTTGTGTACAACTTGACGATCTGCTATATGTATAAACCGTTAAGATAATCCTCGCAAACAAGCTTGTTAACATACCCATCACCTCACAAGGTCACCACTAAATGTAAACTTTAAGAGAGGCCTAAACAATTTCCATTCAGACTCTCTGAAGAATATAATCTTTAAAAGTACAAGATCCTTGGGCCTTAAGTTTTCCTTCTCCACAAACCAATGAAGCCTTAGGTTATTTCATTTCAGAGCTGGGTGGTTGGTCCCTCTGGTGCAGTTTTCCACATACAATGTACATATGTCTCTTAGACAGCCATGTACAGATGTGCCAGAACACTCCAGATTGGCTGGAGTGCTTCCCTAACCAAAAGACACCTTAGAGAAACCAGTGTGATTATGAAGCTACAGCATAGTTCATAATAGCCCTGGGATTACTTACCCACAGTCCACGTCACCTGTCCACACTGACTACCTACCTGTGTCGGCCGTTCATTTCCAACCCCACGACAGGGCAGATGAAACGTGCCCGCTGGAGGTCGTCATGCTTGTCACCCTTAGTGTTTCCTTTATCGCCTTCCCAGGCGGGGTTGTCAGAGAGCCTCAGTTCTGTCACATTCTGTGAAAAAACATCAAAAATTCCTTTGACAAATGGATCATCCTTAGCCTTAATTATTGTTCTAGTCCCTTCCCATCCAAACCTCTTTTTCTACTTTCCTTTCGCATCAATTAACACAGAAATGAAATTAAACCATAAGTTGTGACAGAAAACAAGATTTTTTAAATGCACTGTCTAGCAAATTATTAATTTCTATTTTACTAGCATTTTGCTAAATAAGGCAAAGGAACTTTGGACATGAAAATTTATCCCACTAAGAGAAGAAAGCTTCGTAATAGTATCCCCTGGAAAGGAACACCTGTTTTCCTGGCTAATGAAGCCTCAGTCAGGCTGTACATATTACTGACCTGCCATGTTAATTTAATAGCTGAAGAGACAGTAAAATCTGTGAGGCTACAGTCTAATGAGTCCAAGGCAGGCTATCAGCTGGATATTACTGTCATACTCCTAGACCCAGTTATTTGGGTTTTCAAAATTCAATTTTACAAGGAGTGACTTAACAGCCTCACTTCAGCGTCTGAGGCATTTCTTCATAATTAACTGCACCAATTTGATTTCAACTCCAGGGAGCAGCTGAGCACGTCGGAAGGAAAGCCACCACACAAACTGTCAACTTCTTGCTTGAGAGCTAGTGTGTATTCATTAGGTTCTTTGCTCAGGGTATTTGTGGATTATTAATTAAAGTAATAATCACTTTTGCATCGTTTTATTTGAATCCTTCTGTCTTTATAGAGTTATGAGTTCTTAGAAAAAAACTTTGCATTAAAATTAAAAGTTCAACCACATACATTATATATTGTAAGTACAGACTTGTATAAGTTAATTTCAGTGGTCATCACATTTTTGAGATAAGGTAATTCTGCTACTGTGGGTTTTTGAGAAATAAATTTTCTTCTCAAGGAAATGATGACAAAAATCGACATGGATATCTCCACAGCATGACCATCAGCCACAATTCAGAATTACTAATTTGTCTGAAATGAACTATTCCAAATCCCTGTATCCTTTTATTACCCCCCAAAACTCAAACAAAATGCCTATTATAGTAATGGGCTAAAAACTTAAAAAAGAAAGAGGAGAAGGAAAAAACTCAAAGCCTCAGCCTGGGAGTCAGGGTTGTGGCTCTGATTTAAGCAACCCTCTGACAAGCCATGAGGCCTCAACATGTCACACACAGTGAGATGAAGTCACACAAAGTGAGATGGAAGTGTCTGACAAGTTTGCAGTTCTCAGATTCTTCACTACTTTTTTGATTTTTCTCCCACTGACCAGATTGGAAAGATTTTGTCTTCTCAACAAAGTTCCTTTACTAAAAAACTTGTTTTTCCACTTCTGTGATAGAAATGTGTCAATCAGAACATCTAATCAGCAGGAGATAACCACAATGACTGAAAAGTGATCTATCTATAAAAATCTCTAATTGTATAAAAGTGTCTTCTAAATAAAAAATTTCAAGTAGCTGAGTTTTAACAAATCACACCTTTATTAGATGGCTGGATGGGACTGGAATTCCAATTTCCAGTCTAAAACACACATGAGTTCTATACAATAAACCTTAACCACTGAGACCCCCTAGAGCACTTCAGAATCACCTGTCTTACCTTAATGCTTTTAATGTGAGAGGCTGCCTTCCCAAGAGCCTTTTCGGAAGATTTGTCCAATAAAAACTCAATGACTGCATCTTTGTTGTAAAGTCTGCAACAATAAAGATCAGTCAGGACATTCTGGCAACAATCAACCTTCATCCAAGAGAAGAAGACTAAACTGAGTACAATCCAAAGTCATTTACGTCTGATAACAGAAATGTCCTCACACTCCTAAAAAAGCAAATTAATTCCTGTCTCAACCATTTCCAAAGCATACAAAGAAAGAAACCAGTTTAAATCAAGGGCTATGTAGACTGGCAGTCAGAGGACTGAATGTGACCCAAACCAGGATTTTTTAAATTGGGAAATTTAACATAAAACATTTTCAGGCTTCCCTGGTGGTTCAGTGGTAAAGAATCTGACTGCCAGTGCAGAAGACACGGGTTCAATCCCCGATCCAGGAAGAGCCCACCTGCCGAGGGACAACTAAGCCAGTGTACCACATCTACTGAGCCTGTGCTCTGGGTCCTGGGAACCTCAACTATGAGCCCTGTGCCACAAACACTGAAGCCTGAGCACCGCCGTGTGCCACAACAAGAGAAGCCACCACGGTGAGAAGCCTGTGCACTGGAACTAGAGAGTAGCCCCCTGTCGCTCAGGGAAAAGCCTGCTCAGCAACAAAGATCCAGCATAGCCATAAACAAATAAATAAAATTATTAATAAAAATAATTAAAGTACACATTTTCAACTTTCCCTGGGGGGGGGGGGAATCAGATGTTCTGGGAACAGCCTACCTTCTTGAAATGTAACAACAAGCTGGAATTGGATAGCAGCTGCCTTTTATTTTATTATTATTATTTTTTTTTGCTATGCAGCCTGTGGGATCTGAGTTCCCCAACCAGGAACTGAACCTAGGCCCTCAGCAGTGAGAACAAGTCTTAACCACTGGAACACCAGGGAACATGAACTCTCCAGTTCACCCAGTCCTCACCATGCCCTACTGATCCCACATGGGTCCTTCATGCATTTATGTTTGTAACTTAGCTCCCTCCTATTGGCCCCTGAGTTTTCAACCCATGGATTAAACAAACCAAACTGAAGAGAAAAGTGCAGAAGTATGCTCTGAGAAAAGGAATGACAACCCAGGCTTCACAAATTTGCTTGAGATCACTCATATCTGATGAATCAAGAATTGCATTTACACGTTAAAATTCTTTTTTTAACACCATGTAATAAAAACTCATCTCCATTAAGTGAGGGAACTATACCTGCCAAGTTCACAGGCAACTATTGGTCGTCTTAATATTTCCTGACTTAGAGTACAGTAGTTCCACTGGGCCACTAATTCAGCATCCTTGTCGACCTGAGAAGAGAAAAAAAAATCCTTTCAGTTAATCTTTTCCTTTGAAAGACACACGCTCCACAGAATTCTATATATAAAGGCTTATTCAGTAATACCATGCTGTGATGATCTTTGTTTTTTAAATCTAATTACTGACACGTGAAGCTGGGATTTATTTATTTTTTTTTTTATCTTAAAAGATACAAAGTTTTATTAAACGAACCTGGAATCAATGGCATCATTCCATAAATTAGACAGCAGTAAAATCTTCCCAGGGTGGGTATATATATGTATATATACAAATCACAGTGATTTTCATTGTGCAAGGAATGGAGAGGTGTAGAAACAGGCTTTTTTTTTTTTCTTTTTCTTTCTTTTTTAAACCACTTGAGAAGCTGAAATGATCAGGGTGGGGCTCCCCGTATGACCCGGGCAGGAAGGAGGAACACCAGCCCTGGATGCTTCATCCCTCGAGAAAAGAAAACCTTTGACCGCCCCGCAGAGCCAGAGAAAGCGTCTCGGGGAGCCAGGAAAGGCAGCCGGTGAGCGGAAACGGTTCTGATCCCAGTTGCAAGAAAAAACACACGTGCCATGAGTTTTATTTAAATAACACAGGAGTCCACCACGGAAGAGCAAGGAGAGTATCCACAGAAAACGAATGCAGACACAGTAACTTAGAGGGAATGGTTCCAGAATATTTCCTTTCTGATTATCAAGGGTAGCGTGTGGCGGTGACCACACGGGGTCAGCAGGAACCAGCTCGGTATGAAACATGACGCTTGGTGGAAGCATCGCCCACCACTCAACCTCCACCAAGACACAGACAGACAGACACACACACAGACTCAAATATATTATTTAAGACAATTGTACAATCGCACCCACTCAAGCTGAACTGATTAGTCAGAATCAGATAAAGGAGTGTACAGAATACACAATGTTTCAGCAGGTATAGAATACGCGCCAGGCAGAGGGACCACCGGAGGGGAAAAAAAAGAACAAGACAGGCACCTCATTTTAATCTCAATTGGGAACAATGGAAAGACTTACATGATGCGGTCAATTTTGTGATGCAAAATGAAAGGGCTAGGGACAAAAAAAAAAGTTTTCCAACCTTTCCTGCAGCTGAAGTTCCAGCAAAGATTCTGTTGTTAGGATGAGGAGGAAATGCAGTCTTCAGGGTTCCCCCGGGGGGGGGGGGGGGGGTGCCTATCATATCACTCAACTGCTTGGCATGAAGCTGGGATTTAAAAAGTCACACGTCAAATAGTCACACATACAAATAGTATGTCAAATAAATGCCCCTCTATATATGATGTGTACAAAAAAACTTTACATCAAGTCACTAAATTGCTTGTCAATTACATATAAATATTAATATTTATATCCTAATAGTAAACTAGGAAGCTCATACAGAAAAAACAAGCAGTACAGGTTGATTTCTAACAGTGGGAACAGCTCCAAAGTTGTTGTAGCAGAATTTAAGGGCAAAGAATTGAGAAGACAGGCATTAAAAAAAAAAAAAAAAGTTCAGCACAAAGACTGTATAATTCCTTACAAAAATCACCCACCTAACAGAAACGGTTTTTTGCAGAGTACCCACTACAAAGCATATCAAGTCATTATCCACACTCTAAATTTAGATTCAGATCTGAGACCCTCCAAAGCCCTCAAATGATATTTCCACTTATTTAATATCCCATGTCCCACTCTTTACTGTTCCTAAAATGTCAAACCCGAATAATGTAACAAGATGGCACACTTGGGGGAAAAAAGGGAAGAAAAAATAAAGAATTTAAATTCCCTCAAATTTAATTTTTGCAGGAACTATTTAAGGGTTTACTGAGTGCCAGTCACTGTGCTAGACAGTTTCTGTGACGCAAGTCTTCTCAGTTCAGTCGCTCAGTCGTGTCTGAGTCTTTGCAACCCCAGGGGTTGCAGCACATCTGGCTTCCCTGTTCATCAACTCCCGGAGCTTGCTCAAACTCACGTCCATCGAGTCGGTGATGCCATCCAACCATCTCCTCCTCTGTCATCCCCTTCTCCTCCTGCCCTCAGTCCTTCCCAGCACCAGGGTCTTTTCCAATGAGTCAGTTTTCTGCATCAGGTGGCCAAAGTATTGGAGCTCCAGCTTCAGCATCTTTTAGCCCTCATAAAAACTTATGAGTTAGGATTCTTATCTTTGTAGTGGAGGAAACTGAGGTACCAAGAAGTTAAGTTTCGTGTCAAGATCACACACTCCAGCAGAGGAGTGAAGATAAAAGGTCAGGCAGGTGGGCTCTGAAGACCATACTTTTAATCGCTACTCTCTATTACATTTGTATTATTTTGTATAACTTTTATATTATTTATTTTTATTAAAGTACAGTTTATATACAATATTGTGTTAGTTTCAGGTGTACAGCATAGTTATTTGAGGTTTTTGCAGATTATGTTCAATTATAGGCTGTTACAAGATATTAGAATTAATTATTTGTGCTATACAGTAAATCCCTGTTGCTTATCTATTTTATGTATTTGTTGTTCAGTCACTCAGTCATGTCCAACTCTTTGTGACCCCATGGGCGGTAGCACGCCAAGCTTCCCTGTCCTTCATTATCTCCCAGAGTTGGCTCAAACTCATGTCCATTGAGTCAATGACACCATCCAACCATCTCATCCTGATTTTATGTATAGTAGTTAGTATCTGTTAATCCAGATAAATGTGTCCTTCCCCTCTATAGTTTAAAACAAAACCAAACAACAAAAACCCCACCACACTACAGCAGATGTTGTCTTATTCGGTCCCAAGATCCAACAGCCACATTTTGGCATCTTAAATAGCTCTTATCATCAGCCACACTGTAGAGAGCCCCTAGAGAGACTTGTTATCAGTGAAGCTGATGTACCATACTTTTTGTAGATTTAAAAAGCTACATTAGGCAAGTTTAGTATCTACTTTCTAGATCCCCCACCTGCTTTACCACAGTCCTTCACTGCTTCAAAAACAAAACCACCTGGGAGAGTTGGGGACAGGGAAGGAACTACTCCTTCCCAATTTAAAATTTGGTCCACCCAAGGTCTTAAACCTGAGGAATGTCTTGGGTCAAATCAAACATACTGTATGTGATTGACAAATGTTATTATACACCTATCTGAAATGCAAGCTCTACAAGGGCTGGACTCTGTTCACTGCTATATCCCCAGGGTCTAGAATAGTGTATATTGTAAGCACTTAATGCGTATCTGTTGAGTGAATAAGAATAATAAAAATCCACCCTGCCTGAGTACTCTAGTTGTTTCAGATCACCCTTTCTTCATTTCTTTCCCCTTCTGACATCTATTCTTAGCCAAGCCTGTCAATAAGCTACTCCTCTTCGGTTCTGGGCTCAAGGTAACAAAACTGAGCTAAATACTATTTGGGTAAAAGCTCACTCACACAAGTGGTAGCTACCCAGCATTAATTTCTGCACACGTAGCTGTGATCAGAGGGCACACGCCAACACGTGGGTGTTCATTCACTCTCAAATTCCATATACATTTGTTGGAAGTTGACTGTGTGGCAGACACATCACAGGGGTCACAAAAGTGACACATACATGTCCCTGTCTACACAAGAAATAGACAAAGAATGAATAAATATAGTGATAAGCACTATAAAGTAAAGCAGCAGAAGAGGACAGAGTGATCAGAAGAGAGATGTATTTTGGCTATGGTGGGCTGGGATGACATTTCAGTAAAGAATTAACTGATGTTTAAAAAAAAAACAACCACCACCAAATGATATGATTGTCTCAGTGAAGAACATATCAGGTTGAGGAAATTAAACTCCAGGTTGACGAACAAGGCCTTTGAGCTGAAACAGAATAAAAGAACTGGAGAAGGGCAGAAGATGAGGTAAACAGATCACATCCTGTCTGATCACACAGGGTCTTATGGGACTTTTTTTCTGAATATAATGGGAAATGACTGGAGGGTTTTAAATACAGTAGTGATTTAAATACAGTAGTGATACATGGAATTTACTTAAAGACTTCTCTGGCTACTGACTGGAGACTCACATGGACCACCCAGTGTGGCAGTCACTTGTATTAATATTAGGTACTTTAAACACCTTCTATTATTAAAAAGTAATCACTGGTGCTAACTCTGAAATCCTGAATAACTGGATGGGAATTCTGGCTTCATTACCTAACAGTTGTGTGATCTTGGTCATGTTACTGACTCAATTTCCCTGTTAGTAGCCTACGACTTAGCGACTGAACAACAACAAAAGCAGGGAAATTATAATACGTAATTTGCTCAATCATTGGTGAGAATTATGGATTATTCAAACCTGCGTTTATCTACCGTATTTATAGTGCTAGTTGAGGAGGGGGAAAAGGTGTGGCCTCAGCCCCCAGGAGCTTATCACCCTCTGAAAGTTAAAAGTCAAAGTCGCTCAGTCCTGTCCCACTCTTTGCAACCCCATGGACTATAAAGTCCATGGAATTCTCCAGGTCAGAACACTGGAAAATGTTCAGTAGCCTTTCCCTTCTCCAAGGGATATTCCCAACCCAGGTCTCCTGCATTGCAGGCGGATTCTTTACCAGCTGAGCCACAAGGGAGCCCAAGAATACGGAGTGGGTAGCCTATTTCTTCTCCAGCGGATCTTTCCGACCCAAGAATCAAACCGCGGCCTCCTGAATTGTAGGCGGATTCTTTATCAGCTGAACTATCAGGGAAGCCCAGCCACCCTCTGAGACCAACAGTAATCAACTTGAACACAGCGTACACGGTGGTTACTTTTTAAGTGGATGCCCTGACCTCAAAGGTTAACAGTTTGAGAAGACTTCACTGAGAAAACGAAGTTAGCGTGTACAGAACTCAATAAACAGCGACCATTTGTATCATTGCTACTAGCAGCAGACAAACTTCAAATCCTGGTTCTGCCACTTACTAGCTTTGCAACTTTCTCCACCTGAGCCTCAATTTCCAAGTCTCAAAAGTGAGGCTTCTGAAGGTATATACCCGTAAGGCTGTCTTGAAAATTACATGAGACACCCCATATTATGCGTACTGTCGGACGAATGGCAACAGCCCGCAGTCAATAAATGTCCCTTATTAACACTGTGGTTAATTTTGAGTTCTCCGAAAGGGATAAATAAGCAAGGTTGTATGTGGAAACCCGCTAGCTCCTCCTCCCACACCGCTTCGCTTCCTGGGAGCGTTCGCAGGTCGCACCACCTCCAGGCCCCACTGGGGCCACATAACTCACCTTCTCAACCTTCTTCGGCCCCTTCACCAGTTCATGCCTCTTAGGGATTGTTCCTCCGTCGCAACCCATCGCAAGCCGACAGAGTCCAGAGCAATCACCTACCGCAGCAACTTCCGGAGTCCCTGGCGACTGTAGGACTCACTTCCGGCGCACCGCAATGACGCAATACGCCAGTCTCCACGCGGACGGGCGGGGCGGGGCGGGGCGGGCTTGTGCCGCGTCTTGGTTGCTATGGAGAGCGTCGCTAGGCGCTGGGCGTGACCCCGCAGCGGGGGCAGCTGCAAAGCGAAGGTTGGGTATTGGTGCTAGCGTCGCGCAGAGCGTACTCCCACTCTCCGGCTGCAGCCAGTCCCTTCATCTTTCAGGCGGACGTGGGATTCCTGCTGCATCCGCCTAATCGTTCTTCCACCCTTCCGGGGCGGAGTCCAGGGGGCGGCGCGGGTGGGGACGACTCAGGAGCAGCAGCCGTGTTTTTGGGTCCCCACCCCAAAAACTGATGTTTCCATGCCTTTTCCGAGAGACAAACTGTATCATATCTATAATGAGAACTCAAAACCCTTGCAAAACCTGTTAAAATTCATGATTGTCTGCTTTCATGCTCTTGACCATCTTTCCACTGGTTCCTTTAATTATTATAAATATAGAGGAAAGCTTATCCACTGCTAGTAAAGCAGACCTTTTAGGACTGGGTGTTTCCACCTTGATCAAAATGAAACAAAAAGACTAAAACTACTCCCCACTTGGGAACAGAAAATACAGTGTATGTGGATTGGAAAGCTTAAAGGGCTAGATGATTGAGTTATCTGATACTGCAATTAATGAGAATTAAAAGAAAAATCCTTTAATCAGTTGGTCTCTGATTGGCGCCTGATTTATTTTTATTAACATCTCAAGAGCTGTAAACTCCCTAGGGACTTTGTTTTACTCCCTCTTGCATTCTCAGTGCCTGCAAGAGTCTTCAGTCCTCCATAAACCAAAAAGTACAGATTCATTCCGAGAGGGTTGACCAGCAGACCCTAAAAAAGTTTCATTCAACTAGAATCTCATTTCTAGGGTAGGGAAACAGAAGACTGGAAATATCAGAAGCACTGGTCCAAGGTTAAACAGCTAGTGAGAGCTGGGGATGGGTTCTAAGATTAGTTTTCTCTTAAAGCAGTGGACAGAAAAACAGAGAATAGCAAAAACAAAGGATCTTTAAGCAGACTCTCAAACCAGTGTTCTTTTCGGACAAGTACAACTACCCCTCACCAAATTCATTTTGGGTGAAATAAACAAAATTAGCTGCTCTTTATCAAGCTGTAATTCTATGCTGGGAGAGTTGGAAGCATTTTTGCGTTCTGTCCTCTCAACCTTAGTAGGGAGTATAGCACCTTCTGTTATCCAAGTGACAACCCTAAGGCTCAGATGTGCCAGATGTCTCAGGTCCATGGCACACATCACGGAAGTAGAAGGGGAAGGAGGTGAGGGAGGGGCTTTCTCAAATGATGCCCATCTAACCACAGATGCCAGGATCCTTCACCTCCTCCCCCCAAAGCTACTGATGACACCCAGTAGTAATGACTATGCGGGCGTTAAAGTTCAGGCAGCTGGATGCTTTTTCTCTTCCCCCTTGGTTTCCTCTTTTAGAATATTGGTTTCTAAGCTACTCTGTGTTGCAGACTATACACAGCTAAAATGTACAGGTTTATTTTTATCATCAGTAGCAACTAGTTTGTGTTGAGAGCTGTCAGGCATTGTATTCTGCCTTTATTTCATTAGAGTATTTCATTTCCAGCCACACTGGGAAGTAGGTCTGTTATCTCCTGCTTCTTCCCACTGTCTTTGTTGAACGAGCCAGTAAAGGATATTCCCTTGTGAGGATCCTTGGTGACAAGTTTGATCCCTGGATCAAGCTGTGAACTTGAAGGGCAGGAGAGGAGTGAAATCATGATAGAGAAAACCATTACCTTCTACCAAAAATCAGTATTCCTTAGAGACGTCCCTGGTGGTCCAGTGGTTAAGACTCTGCTTTTCCAATGCAGAGAGCATGGTTCCATTCCTGATCAGGAAACTAAGATCTCACATGCTGTTCAGCCAATTAAAAAAATCAGTATTCCTTAACCTTTCTGGGGTCATTGGACCTGTTGGAGAATTTGGTGAAAACTTTGGACTTATTCCCCAGAAAAATTATCCATAAGCACTTGGGAAAATTTGCTATAGTTTGTTTTGTTATTTTAGTTGCTAAGTTGTCTCTGACTCTTTGTGACTCATGAACTGTAGCCCGCCAGGCTCTTCTGTCAATGGCATTTCCCAGGCAAAAATACTAGAGAGGGTAGCCATTTCCTTCTCCAGGGGATCTTCCTGACCCAGGGTTTGAACCCTTGTCTCCTTCATTGGCAGGTGGATTCTTTACCACTGAGCCACCTGGGAAGCCCAGCTGTAGTTTATACTTATATGCATTTTATTCATGGCTTCCTGAAGCCCAGGCTAAGAACCAATACTTTAAGTGCTTCTACTGCCTGTTACAATAGTTACCAAATACTTCCGACTTCTAAACCATTGAGGGTTTTATTTCCTGTTAGCTCTGCCCATATGCTCTTCCAAAGCTGCAGTTTTAAATTCTGTCTGGAAAAACCTTATATGCAGAACAACTCGTTTTAAGAGTCAGCGTGAAAGAACAAAAACAAAAATGCAAAAATATGTGTTAGGATTCTTTAAGTATTTCACAGCCTGGGGACTTCCCTAGTGGTCCAGTGATTAAGACTCTATGCTTCCAATGCTGGAGGCGCAGGTTCAGTCCCCGGTGGGGAATTAAGATCCCACATGCCTCTTGGCATGGCCAAAAACTGAAAAGAATTTCCCAGCCTCATTTAAGGTTACACTTGGGAGGGTGTCCCAAAGACAGTTAAAATAAAGTAGAAAATGGAAGTGATTGCCGCAGTAATTCAAGACAAAAGTTACTTTTCGTTTGCAGTTTTAGTGAAATATTAAAACTATTCCAGGACTCTACAGGGCCTTACATGAACTGGGCTCCTAACTCATGGAGCTCATGTCATTCATTTTTCTTTCCCACACTGGCATCTCCTCTGCTTGGTAGAACTCTCCAGGTATACATTTACTCTCAGGTATACATTTACTCTCCAGGTTTATGTTTGCTCTCCAGGTGGGCTCTGCACACTCCCCTTGCTGTTCCTTTTGCAGAACACTCTTCCCCCGCATTTGCCAAGCTGACTCTCTTCAGTGATGCATCATCACTTGGCTCCTGGTCCCCTCTTCAGAGCAATCTTTCCAGACCTCTCCATTTGAAAAGGCACATTTTGGTACTTCTCTGGCGGGCCAGTAGTTGAGGCTCTGTGTTCCCAATGCAGGGGGCGTGGGTTTGCTTGCTGGTCGGGGAAGTAAGATCCCCCATGCTGCAGGGGGCGATTAAAAGCAAAACAAACAAACAAACAAACAACTCAGGCTTCCCTGATGGTCCAGTGGTTAAGAATCTGCCTTGCAATGAAGGGACACCAGTTCGATCCCTGGTTCAGGAAGATCCCACATAGCACAGAGCAGTTAAGCCCACGTGCCACAACTACTGAGCCCACCTGCCCTAGAGCCCGTGGGCCGCTACAAGAGAAGCCAGAACACTGAGAAGCCCACCTACTGTGAAGAAGAGTAGCCCCCACTTGCAGCAACTAGAGAAAGCCTGAGTGCAGCAGTGAACGCCCACCACAGCCAAAAAATAAAGAAATCTTTTTTAAAAATGCACATCACCCTAGCCACTACCCTGATTTAATTTCTTCCTTGCATTTACCATCACTGATAACCTGTTATAAATGTAACTTTTGATGTCTCATTCACCATGGAGTTTTTGCAGTAATTTAGATTTTTTTTATGTTATATCAAAATATAATTTATCTTGATTACCAAGTGTTGGGTGTGCCCGCCTGCATTTTGCATCCAAAGAGAGTGCCTCACTGGCCTTCACCCTCACTCTGGCCCCGGTATTCGATCTCCCTCAGCTGAGAAGAAAGTTGCATGATGAGACCCTTTGTTTTGTCTACTGCAGCACATCTAGTGATCAGAAGAGGCCTGGGCAGATAGGAGATGCTCAATAAATGATTGTTAAATGAATGAAGGAAAGGAAAAGGACATTAGCAAATAACCTACGAATATGGGCAACTTGCAAGGAGAAAGCTTCTGGAGACCTGGGGTGCGTACTTGGGGAGAACATAACATTTTTAAAAGATGCTTTGTTAAGAAAAATAGTTGCCACCCAACTGGGTTCTTGGCTCCCCCAGTGACTATCACATTGAAAGATCTCTAAATGAGGCTTCTCACCACTTCCATCTTCCTGAGGAAATTTAACTTAATTGAGGTCATGTTGCTGCCGCCACCACCACCATACACCCACCATTTCCTCTTCCTACCTCGAGAGGAAACAGTACAGAATTTTGGATGTTGAAGAAACAGACTTAGCAAAAAGCTGCTGAAAGCTAAAAAATTGTGATTTTATCCAACTTTACAACTTTTTCAGAAGTAATTATTCTATTAAATCAATCAGTGGAAACTCATCCCATAACTGCTTTCAAAAAAAAAGGAAGGAAACCCATTTAGCTAGAAGCAGCAGTTTTCAAAGTTTTGAACCCAGTGGTTTTGGTTTTACACTTTGTTGCCAAAGGTCCCTGGTTTAAACTGATTTCAAAAAAAGAAATATATATATATATAGATAGATATAGCTCCAGATGTCTGTCTCTTTGTGGTGTCTCTGTCTCTCTTTTTGGCTCTGTCTCTCAATCATTCTATCTCTCTACATACGTAGGTACATACATACATAGTGTTCTGAAACCACGTGGGACCTGTTCATTACCTACTGGAGACTACGTCACTTATAAAGGACTAAATGAGTTAAAACATCTAAAGCATTAGAACAGTATCTGGAATGTAGTCATCACTTAATAGATACACCCCGTTGCTATCACTAGTGTGTAACACGTCATTTTGCCTCCTGGAGCAACCCTTCCCCTTTACGGTGCCATTTCTCACTGCTAGGGGCTCCAGCTGGGACACAACGCTCCAGGGGTCTCTCGTGTTTCTGCATGTCTTCTGAACAGAGACATTGGCTTGGCATTTTGTTCCAGGCTATCTTGTCAAGCATATATATAGGAAACCCCCTTGGAAGACAGAGACAATGTCTTCCTCCAGAGCCGAAGGGCAGGATTGTTTGCTGTCCAGTGTCATAAAGATAAAGTCTCCATCTGAGGCAAAGCTTGGTCAGGTTTACACAGAGACTGCTATAAAAGATTGGGAGCTTGCTAGGTTCAGGGGTTTTTTATAGCTTTGATGCAAACCCTTTGTGTGCATAGCATCACATACACACACCTTTATGTTGCCCCTGGGACTTGAGGGATATGGGGAAATGATGTAAAAATGAAGCATTAGCAGACTTCCCTGGTGGTAGAGTGGCTAAGGATCATCTTGCCAATGCAGGGGAGATGGGTTCTGTCTCTGGTCTGGAAAGATCCCATGTGCCACAGAGCAATTGAGCCTGTGTGCCACAACCAAGAGCCCTGGAGTCACAACTACTGAAGCCCATGAGCACTGAGCCTGTGCTCTGCAACAAGAGAAGCCACTGCAATAAGAAGCCCATGCACCGCAACAAAAGTAGCCCATGCTCACTGCAACTAGAGGAAGTCCATGAGCAGCAATGAAGAGTCAGCACAACCAAAAATAAGAATAAATAAATTATTTTTTTTTTATTTTAAAAAATGAATCAGTAACCACTTGTGAGGCTGTAAGAGGAGGCCTTTGACTCTGTGCAGGAGAGTTGACATAATAACAGGTCTGACTAAAATCCTTAGAAAGGCCTGCTGGCAAGATTGGCTTTGGCGGCTATATAGGAACTTGGTTTCAGGGAGGGTTTCCACCATCCCTGAGTTGATAAGAATAGAGCAGGGCCTAAACTGTTTGTACAAACAATGTGATTCACACAGGACACCTGCTTCCCTTCAAAGAGTCCGGAACTTTGGTCCATGCCACACAGAGGCTCACACATGATCAACCCTAGTGAAAACCCTGGAGGCCAGGCGGTCATGAGTGTCTCTGGCCAGCAACACTCCCTGTATATTGTCATGGCTCCCAGCTGGGGGAATTAGGGGGTCCTAGGTAACCCCAGGGAGGGGACTCTTGGCAGCCGGAGCCTGCCCTGGCGCTTCATTCCCACATGACCCTTCCCTTTGCAGATTTTGCTCTGTCTCCTTTCATTGTGATAGATTAGAGTGGTGAGACACTATACGTGGGAACCTGTGAAGCTTCCTACTGAATCAGGGGGCCTCAGGGTGGTCTTGGGTACTCCCGACATGGTCTCTGACCCCAGAATCTCATGTCTTCTCTCAGCATCCATGAGATTAAGGCAGGCTGACTTGTTACTTTGAAGTAAGAGAAGACATTTCACAGTTCTTGCTAGAGCCATCTCCTCATCTGTCTAGGAACACATGGCTCTGTGTGTGTGTGTGTGTGTGTAGGGGTGAATCCCAGGTCTAGGACACCTTGGGTATTATACACCCATCTTACCATGGAACTGTTAGGGGCAGACATTTGATCTAAACTAGTCCAAGTAGAAAACAAGACTCTTTCTTCTCCTCTGGCCACAGACCAAGAAAGACCATAACTCATGGCAGACACCTTGAAACCATGAGAGTTAACACAGAGAAAGTGGGACTCAGAAATTGGGCCTTGATGAATCTGCTAGGGGTACCCAAAACAGCTGTTTTTGAAGCCAACTTGTCCCTGGATTATGTTAAGATACTTGAGTCAATAAATTCCTTTTATTGCTTACGAGAGATGGTATCAGAAGGAGTCCTAACTGACACAGATCACAGCTGCTCGCAGAAAATGTCTCCATTCTAGTGCAGAGAACCAAGCCTCACCAGGACAGGATCCTTCTTTAGGGACCGAGAGTAACTCGATGAATACAATCAGTCTTTTGGTCGTCAACAATTTATAAGTGCAGAGTAGCGGATAGGAACTGCAGCTGGTACCATTTCAGGTAATTTCCAGCCTAGAGATGTCTCATGGCAGAGGGGCACATAGAAGACATGAACCTCCACTTGAAGTGATGATGTAACCATAGAAACGTGAGCTAAAGCTCCAGCTGCGAGGACAGGAAGAGGAGGTATTTGACTTGGCGTGGGGGAGTGGGGGGGGGGGGCGGAATTCTGGGCCACTCTCAGATCTGTGCCCAGTGATAGGGATGCTGTTTATACCACACTTCCTGGCTCTACTTTTCCAGAGCTAGCCTTGCATGTGCAAACTTGGTCTCTACTTCCTCTCCTTGCACACTCTGGGGAGATGCATTTGCGTCACACAAATAAACATTTTGCTTTGATACCAGAACCCAAGTGACACAGATCAAACATCTTTCCAAAGAAAAGATTGGTGCAAAGATTGGTTCAATTCATGACTGTATTGACATAATATTATAAATGGTAACACATTTGAGACTATTGAGGTATAAACCTTTTCTGATTTAACATACTAAATGTTCAATCCATGTGTTGAATTTATCAACACAGAATCTATAATGTACAAAATAAATAGGGAACCCAATAGAACATGTTGTGTTGCAAATTACTGCTACTTATAACATGCTTGTTTAACTCTGTTCAGATAAAACAGCAAATATATATATACGTATTTGGTGTAAGTCACAGATATAGAATTTGTACCAGTCTCTCAGAATTAATTCTATCCAAACTGAAAATTTTACTACATTTTCTAGCAGATGCAACAGAAATCAATCACTTGAAAATAATCTCTGCCCCCATTCTCATATTGTATTTTCTCCCTGTTGTTTAGTTGCTCAGTCATGTCCGACTCTCTTGCCAACCCATGCACTGTAGTCTGCCAGACTCCTCTGTCCATGGGATTTCCCAGGAAAGAATACTGGAGTGGGTTGCCATTTCCTTCTCCAAGGGATCTTCCCAGTCCAGGGATCGAACCACGTCTCCTGCATTGGCTGGTGGGTTCTTTACCACTGAGCCCCCAAGGAAGCCCAAAAGTAGGCTTCTCCCTAGCACCTAATATATTGTGTATGTATTTCTTCATCTTTTGTCTGTCTCCCCACTAGATTGTAAATGCCCTGAAGACAAAGCTTTGGTCTGATTTAGTGCTACAAGCCCAGCACCTAGAATTTAACATACAATAGGTACCCAATAAATAAGTACTGAATGAATGAATGAACTTAAAACAGGCACACATTGAGCTAATATAAAACACTGGATTCCACAACCTCATTTCATACACTGGCCCTACACGACAGGTCCTTTCTTCACACCTAACTCCTCCCTGACTCTGTGGGATAAGCCAATATCCTGGAGTTGCCCAGACTCTCGGTAACACTGGGTTTGGGCACCATGACAGTTGCCATCCATGGTACACTCCCAGGTTGGTTTTGCCCAGACGACAGACTTGCACAGGTTGTGGGTGTGCAACTGAAGTGAAGAGTTTGGCAGGGAGAAGGAGGCTTATTCCAACGTCCCCCGGAACTGCTGCGCGTGCTGCTCCAGCTTCTTGGCTTCGGCCTGGAGGTGCTGCAGGGCGGCGGGGCTGGGGTGCTGGAGCACAGCGTGCTTGGTGGCCAGTGCTAGGTCCTTGAGCAGGCTGCAGAGGCAGCTGCTGCCCCGAAGGATCTCATTGCGCACGTCCCGCTCCTGGGTCTCCCGGCACAGCCTGTCCACCAGCTTCTGCCCGACAGTGATGACCAGCTTGCTCTGTGTGATGAATGTCTCAGGGGGCTGGCTGTTCTGGAGGCTGCTGTTGAGCACGCCGATGGCTTTGAAGAGCGCCCCAAAGTAGAGACGGCAATGTTCAGAAAGGCATGTTTTCTTCTCGGGATTCTGCTGACTCAAAGGCCGGGGGACCAGGGAGCTAGGATTCTAGAGAAGGGGAAGAAGACAACAGATCAGAGATGTGAGCGACAGGCTATGGTTGTCTCTCTTCTCCTGTTTTTGCTTAATTTGCAGACTTTTTATAAGAAAAAGTATAGTTTTGTTTGGGAAGCCCCATGTGCAGGTGCAACATTCTGCCTAACAAATTAATGTTAATTCAAAGCATGTTGTGTTGTTTAGTTGCTAAATCCTGTCCAACTCTTTTGTGACCCAATGGACTGTGGCCCACTAGGCTCCTCTGTCCATGGGATTCTCCAGGCAAGAATACTGGAGTAGGTTGCTATTTCCTCCTCCAGGAAATTTCCTGACCCAGGAATCAAATCCTGGGTCCTTGCCATCTCCTGCACTGACAGGAAGGTTCTTTACTGCTGAGCCATCAGGGAAACCCTTTTTTAAAGCTTCTTTATAATCTTATATATTGTGTTATAAATAATCATTCATATTAGATATACATAAAATTATATTCAGTCTTCCCAACAAACCATTAGAAACCCATTCTAAGAAACTTACTGACAATGACTAAATTTATACCTTTTTTTTTGTTTTTTCTTTTTATGTGGATCCTTTTTTAACGTTTTTATTGAATTTGTTACACTATTGCTTCTGCTTTACATTTTGGTTTTTTTTTACCTCGAGGCATGTGGGAACTTAGCTCCCCTTGCACTGGAAGGCAAAGTCTTAACCACTGGACCACAGTGAAGTCCCCTAAATTTATAAATTTTAAAAAATGCAGGAAAGTTGATGGTGTGATTTTAAAATTTACTCAAATAACATGTTTTAAAGCATTTTTTAAAAATCCTTCTTAATTCCAGTATCAGAGGTAAACTTGAATCCCCCAAATTTCCAGAAGAAATCAAAATATACTGACCTATTTGCTTTAAGATTAAAATATTTATTTTACTTGCTAGTTAAAGTTTCATTTAGAATTTTGTTTTCGTGAATTTTATTTTCTGCAATGTGGCGCCAAAGCCTATTCACTAGTGAAAGATTCTCAGCATCAAATTTAGTAGCAGCCACCCCAGGTAACAATCAAAAGCCCCTTTGTTAGGTGTAGGTGAGGAGAATGAGTATCCCAGAAGAGAAGAGGTCACCTAGGGTCACTCAATTAGCAAAATAAAGATTGGAGGGCTGGACTTCCCTGGCAGTCCAGTGGTTAAGACACATTCCCAGTGGAGGGACTCCAGCTCCAATCCTTGGTCAGGGAGCTAGATCCCACATGCCACAACTAAAAATCCCACATGCCACAACTAAGACCTGGTGCAGCCAAATACATAAATAAATATTGAAAAAAAGTTCTGGAGCTCTAAGCCGAGTCAGCAATTCTGAAATTCTCATTCTTTGTTAAACGGCACCCTTTTATCAATCTAAGATCTCAAAACTCACAGCTCAGAAGCACTCTGACTGCATTATGGTCTGACTGTGTCTCCCTAAAATTCATATCATGAAACTCTAACCCCTCAAGGTAAAGGTATTAGGAGATGGAGGCTTTGGGAGGTGGTGACTAGAATTAGGGCTTCCCCAGTGGTTCATGGCCCCCAGGGTGGGGGATTAGTGCTCTTTTATGGGTCATGTGAGAGCTTGCTTCCTGACTGTGTCCTCTGCCAGGTCTGAAGCCTGGGAGGGATCTCTCACCAGAACCTGACCATGCTGGCATCCTGATCTTAGACTCCTAGTCTCCAGGCCAGTGAGACATAAATTTCTCTTGTTTGCAAGCCACCCAGACTATGGTACTTTGTTGTAGCAGCACAAACAAGGACAAGTGACAGAGAAAAGATTGGAGTGTTGGCTGTGGTAGACTCTTGGAGGGGCAGGAAGCATGAGAAGAATGCTTCAGAGGCTAGAAATGAGAAGCAACCATCTGGGAAATTGGAATGTTGGCATCTTAGCTTGAGAATATCATCCGTAGGTAAACAAACAATGTACTGTCTTTTATCCTGGGGTGCTGGAAATCTCTGGAGGTATTCTTGGTTGTCACACTGATGAGGGAGCACCACAGGATACCAGCAGTCAGGGGACTAGGGATACTCAATTGTTCATCCCACATGATGGAGAATTGTCCGCCCAATGGTCAGTGGTCCCTCCACCCATACTAAGAAGCAGTCAGTCTAAAGCAGGGTATTTCCAAGTGTGGTTCTTGGACCACTGCACCTGTCGCACCTGAGAACCTATTAGAAAAGAAAATTCTCAGGCCCTACCCTAGGCTTACGGTATTCTGAACGCTGGGGTGGGACCCAGTTCTCTGGGTTTTAACAAGCCCTATAGGAAACTGTGACACACTCTCAAATTTGAGAACCGCTAGTCCAAGACAGACTTCATGTTGAATAAAATAGCATGACTTTTAGCAATGTGACAGGCCACTAAGCTTGGGGTTTGGAGTTTGCAGAACTAAGCATCAGGAGGCTTGGGTTATTATCCTAGCTGGCCTCTGAAAAGGCAACGATCTTATCCATATCATTGAATAACTCTGTCCCTTCTTGCCTACCCTGATCCCCCAGCCAGAAAGTTGAGTGGGTTCACTGGTTCCCAGGCTTCAGTTATGCAAAGAAAACCTTCACACGCTATGAAGTTTCTACCTTCCTCTTGACTTCGGTTGGCTTCATCTTTGTCTTTAAACGATCCAGTTTTTACTTGTTAAAACTGTTTAAATTGGTAAATGGAAAACTAGTGTCATTTGCCAGCAATAGGAGGTAACCGATTATAATTAAGCACAATGATAACATCCTTGATTTTTTTTTAAAAAAGAACATCATATGTCAAAGAAGTGCTGAAGGGATACAAGCTTCAAACCAAAATGATTTTTCTGTTGTAACCAGAAACATTAAAAGAGAATGTCAGACAGATGAACAGATAGAGGGCAGATCAAGTGTATACACAATGAGAATATGGTCCCGCACAAGGCAGGGAAAGAGATGCCTCAGAAGAAACAAACCTTGATTTTGGATTTCTAGCCTCCAGAATTGTGAGAAAATAAATGTCTATTGTTTAAGCCAAAGGCAGGGGTTGGGGAAAAAAAAGGATGTTGAGAAAGAATAGTCAAAGGACCATGTTCCACACTCGGGGGCTCACTGGGTTAGTTCATCTCCAGGGTTCCTTCTACTTAAAATAAGGAAGAACTATCACAAAACCAAGTCTCCTCCCATGTGGGTCAGGGCTGTGATGTTGAATTATGCACAGCAGATGTCTCTGGGGATAAAGCGTTTTAGTTAATCAGAAGGGTTGGAGAGTTAGTCAGCATCATCACTTACCTGTGTTTCTAAGTTGCTATTTTCATCCGACCTTTGTTCCAAGATGGGCTTTTCTCTCTCTACCAGGAGAGGCAATTTCTGAAACATAAAATCCCTTCGAATTACCAACCAAAATGGTCTTTTAATCCACTTTAAAACTTGAGCATTTCTTTTTACACTTTTGTTGAGGTTCTGCCTATGATACCTTTTGCCAACAAAGGTGATTTTAGCAGCTCAAGAGCGGAAACAAAGGACACAGAGTTTAACCAGAAAAGAAAAATATCTAAATGTCCAGCTTCTCTGGAGTGTGTTAAAGCTCTTGCACCATCAGGCATGTCAGCAGAAAACCCCAAGACTGGGGCTGAAAGCACCAACTTATCCTGTGACACAGCCCCTGTTATCTGCTGCATCTTCTGCAACTTGCAATTCTTGAACTAAAGGTGTCTTACTATAGTGTCTCACCTCATGGAGGAAAGTATTTCTAAGAGTGACTAGAGTCTGGAGGCTGCTAGGACCGTGGACAATTTGGAAGAGTGTTTATACTTCCTCTTCTGTTCCTAAGCAGCACACTGACAATGACTCAGTTTATAACTTTCCAAAGTGCAAGGAAACTTGATGGTGAGATTAAAAATTTTGCTCAAAGAACAGGTTTCAAAAGGTTTTCAGAATCCTTTTTTATCCTAGCATCAGAGGTAAGCCCCAAACCATAAAATGTCCAGAAGACATCTGTTTGTCTTAATATTAAAACACTTATCTTTCTCCTTACTAAGATCTCATACAGAATTTTACTTTCATGAATTTTGTTTCCTGGAAAATGGAACTCATGCCTCCCCAAAGATGAAACAATAGATTCTCAGCATCTAGCTTATGGGTGACCACTCCAGATAAAAATGCAAAGTCATTTATATTTTATTAATACCACGTGGAACTCTGAACTCACCTGTTCACAAACATTTGTCCTATTCTTCTCTGATAGTTCAGGAGAGTGTTTGCTTTCTTTTTGCTTATGAAAAGGCGTGTTCCTTTGATAGGATTCAATCTCCCTTTGGGGAAGTTGGATGGGTTTGGCAAGCTTAAACTCTGCATTTGGGGTCAATTGCACAGGATCTTCCTTTTCACAGTTCAGCTTGAAAAGGAGCCTCCCATTGGCAATGATGATGGAGGTGAACCTCTTGACATCTTCCGGAACCATCCGTGCCACCTGGACAAATCTCTCCAGGTCATCCGGGCTGTTCTGGATTTTGTCAGTCACAAGGACTTCCAGGGACCAATCGCAGCTCTCCAGACTTTCCTTTGTTTCAAGCAGGATTTGGTAGGAGTTGGAGATCGTCTGTAGCTGATCCCTAATTCTGGCCTGAAGGTTACTGTTGGTGAGGTTGCACATGGTCCCACAGACTCCTCGGGCAAAATCCAGGAATTCTCTCAAGGATTCCTCTGTGCGGTCAGCAGCCCTGCGGATTGCATCGATGTTGGCCTCCAGAGAGTTCCTGAACCTCCACTTCCTGCTGACAAAGAGCATCAGGCCCCCGACAGAGCTGGCCACCTTCTGCTGCAGAGCTGTGACTGTTTCTCTGGCCAAGTCCAGGTCCAGGGGGGGCTCTCTGGCTGACTCCTCTGAGAAGGAGCTGGACGAAGAGTCAGTGGATGTGGAGGAGCAGGAGGAAAGAATGCTGGCTCTGCTGCCGGAGCTGGACACGGACGAGCTGTCTGGTTCAGGGGACAGTGATGCTGCCTGGCTGGGAAACCACGGGGAGTTATGGTCCGAGGAATTCTCTGAAGGCATGGTGGCTTTCCCCAGCTCTTTCTCAGCCTGGGGGTCCCTCGGCCTCGCTTTAGGGATGTCATAAATGTTCGGCTTGGTGTTCTGCTGCTCCACTCGGGGGATCAGAAAACTTGAAGGAACCTTGTAGCTGACACCTTCATCCAAAGGGAATGCACCCTTGGCTGGTGGAAAGCTATAAGAAGGAATTTCTGGAAGGCTGAGTTTTTTCTGCATGGACATGTTTCTCTGTGGGTGCAGATTGAGAGTCCCTGCTCTGCTGCTAGGAGGGCTGTGGAAGCTGGACATACACCTAGGGAGGGCATGGTACCCCAATTTTTCCACAGAGCTACTTGGAGATGCATTTCTTACATCAGCTTTTTCCAGAGACACTGGCGTGTCATAAACCCATTCCGATTTTTGAGGGCTTGGCAATGTGTTGCAGCCACCTCTCCTTAAGGCGATGCTTGATGTCGGGGGAATATTCTGCCTCTGTGAAGAACCACACAAAGTCACCTGTTATTTAGTTTAAGGAAAAGACAGGGGGAATGACTCTGGAGATGCATTGCATGTGTATTACACTGAGGAGCCACCAAGCGCTGGGCACTGTGCATCTTAAAAGCCTGATGGTCACGCCTCTGTTCAAGCTTCTGCAGTGGCTTCCCATCTCCGCCACCACTCAAGCCCTTCACAGTCTGGCTCCAGCCTCCTTTTTCGTCTCCTCGCTCTCTGCCTCTGCCACCACACCTGGCACTCCCCTCCTTCAAGGTCCAGCGACTCAGGCTGCTTACCTTTCTCTGAACCAAAAATGCTCTCCTGCATGGCTATATTTAATTCTGTCCGAGTTGGTTCCTCTGTTCTCAGTGTCCACTCAACCCCTTGCTTTCCATCTAACAAACTCCCGTGCATCCCACATGACACTGCTGTGAAGCCACCTTGGGCATGAGTGCATGCTTGCTGAGTCACTTCAGTCATGTCCCATTCTCTGCAACCCCATGGACTGTAGCCTGCCAGGCTCCTCTGTCCATGGGACTCTTCAGGCAAGAATATTGGAGTGGGTTGCCATGCCCTCTTCCAGGGGATCTTCCTGACCCAGGGAGAGAATGTCTCCCTCATTGGCAGGTGGGTTCTTTATCACTAGCGCCACCTGGAAAACCCACTTTGTGCATAGGTGTATTTATTGTATGCATGTGACAGAATCCATTGATAAGCATGGATTACAGATTTCAAGTTAAGTCACCTCCCCTCCATACGAATAAAAAGCTACCTCAACGCAACATGTCTCCAAGGTAGATTGCAAGAAGAAGCACTTATCTCAAGTCTCCTGAGCTCTTGCTCTATGCCGAGCACTGTACTAGGTCTTTTGCAGGGATTATGTCAATTCATTGGGCTTCCCTGGTGGCTCAGAGGTTAAAGCATCTGCCTCCAATGCGAGAGACCCAGGTTTGATCCCTGGGTCGGGAAGATCCCCTGGAGAAGGAAATGGCAACCCACTCCAGTATTCTTGCCTGGAGAATCCCATGGACGGAGGAGCCTGGTAGGCTACAATCCACGGGGTCGCAAAGAGTCGGACACGACTGAGCGACTTCACTTCACTTCACACTTCACTTCATGTCAATTCTCACAGTAAGTTTGTAAAGAGAAACGGAGGCGTACGGAAGTCAAAGGATTTATCTAGACCACATGACTTGTCTGGTTCCTGAACACTGTCGCAGTTACAAATTTTGCCTCCAGTGAAGTAAATTCTGTTATGAGGGATTTGAGTTCCTAATTTTGACCAAGCAAACAACATTTCCCAGAGCTGGTTCAGGTTTGCACAGTCTCAGATCTCAGTGCCGATCATACTTACGTTTGTTTGGCTGGCCGGGGGACCCAGTGCTGCCTTTTGGGGGCTGGGGGGGATATCATATAGTTGCTGCATGCCTGGCTCCTGGGAAAAGACCACAAAGAAGGTCAGCTTGGAATTTTCCTTCCTGGTGGCTGCACATCACAAACCGTCTCAAAGCTGGTGTTTTGTTTTGTTTTTCTCCAAGTGAAAACACAAATCACTGAAGACTGGGGCTTTCAGTCATGATGGTTGTATGGCACAAGTGTGTGCTGTTCTGAGTACATTTTCAACAATGGGCTCTGTGTTTTAGAAAAAGGCACCTTCTCAGTCAAAGGTGGGGACAAACTATAGAGAGAATTAGCTGCAGTTGTCTGAGTTAAAAATAGCGGTTCATTTCCTTCTGTAAGTTCACCCTAAGATTGAATTAAAGAAGACTAAATATAAGATTGGAATTTACTATGTCTGTTTTCTTTCTTGTTTTTCCCAGAGGAATTTTGCTGTGCTTATGACTCATGTATTAATCCTGCAAATATTTACTAAGTGCCTACTAATGAATAGCCACTGAGCTAAGTGACATATGTACACCCAGTAATGAGCAAAAGACATGGCGCCTCTAGAGATAATAGACATTTATGGGGGAGGTGCAACAATTAGGGAATACATAAATTAGGACATGAAAAATAGGTTCCATATTCCAAGGTAAGGTGAAAGAGCATGAGAACAGGTTTTGCAAAGAAAGAGAAAAGAAGCTGAAATTTGGAGAGGGTTTTTGTTTTGGGTCTTTTTTTAGCCGCATATCATAACTTGTGGGATCTTATTTCCCCGACCAGGGATTGAACCCGGGCCCTCGGCAGTGAGAGTCCTAATCACTGGGCCACCAGGGAATTCCCAAGAGGGGTTTCTTTGGAGAGAGTCAGGCCATGAGTCTCCTCCAAGTCTCCTCCTTTCACTTCATAGGCAGGGGGAAGTTTGGTACTGCCTGCTCTGAACATTAAATTCCTCCACTGAGACTTCTTACTACCTGTAAGTGACCAGGAAGTCACCCAACCAGCCTAAATTTTTATTTTGACTGGAGCTGTGGCTCTCAGCCCTGGCTGAGCTTGAACACCACCTGGGAGCTTTAAAATTCCTACTGCCTGGGTCCCACCCCAGATCTCAAACCTCAGAGTCTCTGGGCGTGGTTCCAGGAAGCAGGCGTGGCTGAAGCATCCAGCCCATTCCCCTGTGCTTGGTGGGCAGGGTAGAGCATGGCCATGGGGCAGTTCTGATGGGCTAAGAAGTGACTAAAGTTGTTTTCTGTTATAGGAAGTATGTCTTACAAAACTGATGTACCAGTTACATTCATGTAAGATAAAAAAAAACCAAAAACTCTGAAATTTCCTCCCCAAGAGATAATCAGTGTTAAGAAAACCAACAATAATGTTAAGACTATGACTTATATCCTTCATGATACTATTACTTTTAAAACGTGCAGATAAAACAAACAAACAAACATGCAGATATGTGTATATATAGTCTTCCTTGGTGGCTCAGAGGTTAAAGCGTCTGCCTCCAATGCGGGAGACCCGGGTTCGATCCCTGGGTCGGGAAGATCCCCTGGAGAAGGAAATGGCAGCTCACTCCAGTATTCTTGCCTGGAGAATCCCATGGACGAAGGAGCCTGGTAGGCTACAGTCCATGGGGTTGCAAAGAGTCGGACACGACTGAGCAACTTCACTATCGCTATTTATATATTGTTGTGTTTTAGTCACTCAATTGTGTCCAACTCTTTGTGACCCTATGGACTGTAGCTGACAAGGCTTCTCTGTCCGTGGGATTCTCCAGGACAGAGATTCTCCAGAAAACTGGAGTGGGTTGCCAATCCTTTCTCCAGTGTGTATATAAGCATGGATATAAAGTATTACAAATGAGAAGTAAAAAATTTTTAAATATTCAGAATTCAAATAGTAGTAACATTCTTCTGAGCATGTCTGGGTTCCCTGGGCACAAAGCTAGTTTCCGAGTGGTGATGGGTCCCTTGGAGTCAGAACTGAAGCTCCAAAGATCTCTCAATGGTAAAACTGAAATGCAAGTTCAGCGTAATGCTGAGTGCCCACGATTTGGATAGAGAAAAAGGAGAGGAGCAGGGCCATGGATGAGGCTCACCTTCAGGGTTGGTGGGCACCGGCTCTGGGCAGGCACATCGTACACCTGGCAAGCCAGAGCTGGTAATGAGGTCCGAGCAGGTCTGGGAATCATGAAGACAGCCTTGGGGAGAAAAAGAAGAACAGAGGGAAAGAAATGTTACCACTGCATCCATGGACCACAAAACAGCAAAGGCAGCGCTAACATGCTAGGACATTCTCTGGGCACCTCTCACTGGAGACCCTTTACTCTGAGACTGGAGACAGCAGGATGCTGGTGGGGAGGTCCGTGATGGAGGGCAGTCTTCCTCACCATGTGGATCAGCCTCATCTGGGAAGTGGGTTGGAAATGCAGATTCCTGGGCCCCGTGTGCATTGCACAGAATCTCTGAGTCTTGACGGAGAGCCTGGGAAACTGCAGTATCATCAGGGCCCTCAGGTGATTCTGATGTTCTCAGAATTTTACTTATGGAGCTGACTTTGTGGGTCACACTTGCCCAAGAGACAACCTACAGCCTATGATGGGACTTTCCTTGGTTTGGAATTGTAGGTGGAAAGAAGCCAGTTCAGAAATGCCCAGTGTTTTCTTGGAAAATGTAGATGGGAACTAAGGAACATGTTTTTGAGAAACATGGTTTTGAAAGGAAACTCTAGTTCAAGAACTAGAGGGTCTACAAGCAATTTAAACCTAAAAGCAGATTTCATCAGGAAATCTGATCTTTTTACTTGAAATACAAAAGATTACCCTTTCTGAATTTAAACCAAAATCAAATATCTTCTTTGTATGGTCTTTTTTTTTTTTTAAGAGAGGCCAGTGTATTATAATAAGGAAGTTGGAATAAAAAGTAAAACAAAGCTCAAGATTGTGGTTACCCTGGGGGGAAGTGGCTGGGAGAGGTGGGAAGGGGCTTCTGGGGTGCTGGTTTCACTGTGTTTCTGGATTCTGATACTAATGACTGAACTATGAGGATCTAGAGGTTAAACTTCAATAAAACATTAATGGATAGTATCAGCCACAGAGTCAGGAGAACTAGATCAAGAGCATGCCAAGGGCTCTGTCTTGGGTGTTGGCAGGCCAGGGGTGTGGACAGACACAGATACAACAAAGAAACTTTAGTCTCTGGTGTTCATCAGGATATGACCTTGGATGGGCCTTTCACCTCCCAGGGAATCAATTTCCTCATTTGTAAAACAAAGAGTTGTTCTCACCTAAAGAGGTTTCTTTTTCTCTCAGATCTACAGAGGTCTCTTCCAGCTAAAAAGATGCAGAGTCCCTGATTAGGACAACAAGGGACATATTTTCACCCTCTTGGTTTTTAATTTTTGGCCAACCTTAATCTAGAGATGCTCAACCTGAGTATAAGGGGAATCTCTGAAACAGGTCCCCCGGGCCAGGTGCCAAGCCTGTTTACTGCCCATTGGAAAACAGCTCAAAGCTAGTAGCTGGGCTTGCTTAGTTTTACCAACATCTCCTTCTGTTCAGAATGTTATTTTCTCAGCATTCTCAGACTCAAAGCTCACCACTGGATTACCCAAGTAGGGAGGAGATGCCTCCCTTCTGTGGATCAGAAGATTCTTAAGTTATTATAATCTTGCATCCTTCTAGCTCCTTCCTTCTTGTAGTAGAGGAAGAAGCAAGATTATTCAGAATCACCAAAAGCTACAGTTTGAAGTGAACTCAGAAATGATAAGATGGTTGGATGGCATTACCGACTCAATGGACATGAGTTTGAGAAAGCTCCAGGAGTTGGTGATGGACAGGGAAGCCTGGCATGCTGCAGTCCATAGGGTCACAAAGAGTCAGACACAACTGCGTGACTGAACTGAACTGAACCCTCTCCTGATACAGAGCAAGAAAGAGAAGTCTACAGGGGTGCTGTGATGTCTCTAGTCACCCAGCATGGCCGTGGCTGCCGCAGAAACCAAGTGAACCTGGATTCCTCATTTCTAAGCTGCAGATGACATTGCTTGCTTTAAAAAGACCCTCAAGCACAGAGAAGGCGATGAAAAAGGGAGTGGGGAGAGGGTCAAAATATAGATAGGGCAGTGATGGAGGGAACTTAGGCAAGAATAAAAGGCAGGAAAGTTCCCCAAGTGTTTTACTGGGGCCAGCCACCTCAAAACCTGCTTGAGTGGTGAGGAGCCCCTGGCTTCTGAAATCCCCTTCAGTGGCTGTGGTTTCTGTCCATGGCCACAGCCTGCACCAGTGAGGTCTCCATGCTTCATGTCAAGGACAAATCTTACAGCTAATGCCCTGACCCTTTTCTGAGTTAGGATGGTCAACTCATCTCTCTTTTTACACCAACATCAGGCTAGAAGTTGACAGTGAGCCCACAGTTATGTTGGATCTGGTCATTTCATTCATTCCACAAAGGTCTATGGAGCATCTTGCAGGAGACTGGCACGGTCCTGGGGGTTCAGAATCCCCAGCAAACTGCAGACTTTGCACCCGCTGTGCTTTTAGGGGGCAGGGAAAATGACCTTAGATTTAAAAAAAATTTTTTTTTTTTACAGATGGGTTAAGACCTTTATTGAAAGTGAAAGTGAAAGTGAAGTCACTCAGTCGTGTCCGACTCTCTGCGACCCCATGGACTGCAGCCTACCAGGCTTCTCTGTCCATGGGATTTTCCAGGCAAGAATACTGGAGTGGGTTGCCATTTCCTTTTCCAGAAGATTTAAAAAAATTTTTAATTGGAGTATCATTGCTTTACAATGCTGTAGAACAACATGAATCAGCCATAATTCTATATATACATGTACCCCCTCCCTCTTGAGCTTCCCTCTCACTCCCAGCCCCATCCCACTCCTCTAGGTCATCACAGAGCACTGAGCTGAGCTGCCTGTGATATACAGCAGCTTCCCACTAGCTATTTTTACACATCGTAGTGGATACACGTAAATGCCAGTCTCTCAGTTCGTCCCACTTGGCCTTTGATTTTTTTTTCTTTCCTTTGAAAGTGAAAGTCACTCAGTCGTGTCCAACTCTTTGCGACCCCATGGACTATACGGTCCATGGAATTCTCCAGGCCAGAATACTGGAGTGGGTAGCCTTTCCCTTCTCCAGGGGATCTTCCCAACCCGGGGATTGAACCCAGGTCTCCCACTTTGCAGGCAGATTCTTTACCAGCTGAGCCACAAGGGAAGGCCAAGAATACCGGAGTGAGTAGCCTTGCCCTTCTCCAGCAGATCTTCCCAACCCAGGAATGGAACCGGGTTCTCCTGCATTGCAGGCGGATTTTTTACCAACTGAGCTATCAGGGAGCAACTCAATGAACTTCAGCCCAGGCCACTTGCTCTCAGAGGAGCCAGCACCCAGGCCCCACTCTGGGTCAGCTGCTTGGATGACAGCTGAGTGTGCCAGGCCTAGATTTGGGCCAGTTGTTTCAGAAAAGGGACTTCAGGTTCACCCCACAGATGGCTGCAGGGCAATCAGCCACCTCTTTCTGGTGTTTGTAGTCGGTGCCTAGAGGGGCAGCTGTTCTGTGTAACACGGGTTGTCTGCCTGGCAGCCGGGGGAGGCAGGCAATCTGAAGTATTCAGAATCTCTTAGCAACTTCCCTGATGGTCCAGCGGTTAAGACTTCACCTTCCAGTGCAGGGTGAGCAGGTTCCATCCCTTGTCAGGGAGCTAAGATCCCAAATGCCCCCCAACTCCCCCCAACCCCCCAAAACATAAAAAAGAAGCAATATTGTAACAAATGCAATAAAGACTAAAAAAATCTCTTAAGGGATCAAAGAAGAAGCTGGTGTGGAGGAGGCCTGCAGGGTAAGTGGGACATTCTTGGGAGGCAGGGCAGCACATACATGGGAGGAGGGGCCTCTCCTGGCCTAGGGCCTCATCAGGACCTCTGTGCAGAGCTGAGGCCAGGTGGGATGTGTCATCTGAGCTGAAAGCAAAGTGTGTGATGGCAGGAAATGCTTGCAGTGACTGAAGACCATGCAAGACTGTGCTGCATTCTTAACACCTCATGAAGGCTGGGGCTTGGAGGGAAACAGTGCATTAATTTTTTTTTCTTTTGTTAATTCCTGCTTCTTTCTTCTTCTTTGATGTGGACCATTTTAAAGTCTTTATTGAGTTTGATACAATATTGCTTCTATTTTACCTTTTGGGTTTTTAGCCCCAAGGCATATAGGATCTTAGCTCCCCAATCAGGGATTGAACCTGCACTCTCTGCATCAGGAGGCGAAATCTTAACCACTTGACCACCAGGGAAGTCCCTTCCTCTCCTACTTTAAAAAAATGTTTCATTCTGCATTTACAAAGTGCTTCTTTTCCTCTGCTTTTAAAAAAAAATGTTACTTTTTAAAAATTACAGATGCAATGCATGTTCTATATAACACACAAATCAACCTCTTAGTCTCTTTGTTCATCAAATATTTATCAAGTACCCACCCCAGGCTAGGCACATCCAAGGTGCAGGGGACACAGAAGCGAATAAAGTATAGATCCCTGTTTAATGACTTCTTTCACTTTCTCCTTAACCAGTTCCACTTCCTAAGGGTGACCACTGCTGGTGTGTGTTCTTTTCAATGCACACATATATACATACACTTTGTAAAGTTTTTTTGGTTTGTTTGTTAGGTTTTTATTTAAATGGCTCTTTCTCCCTGCCTTATAAATACCTTATAGAACTAATTTCATTTTCCCCCCCATAACTGCAGCGCACACACACACACATACACACACACAGTGGCTTGTAGTAGGGTACTGCCAAAACTTATGTAACCAATCCTCCATGAATATTCCTTTAGGCAACTGGAATTTTCCCCTATAACAAATAATACAGCAATGGCTATGACTTCTTCATTCAGATATATTTCTGCCTTCTTGTGTATTTCTGCAACAATTCTGGAAATCCTTTCTAGGTTGAAAGGAACACATTTTAAATCTGATGCATGATTTCTTGCCTTTGACCCATGGAAATTCAACCCCTCCATTTAACTAATGTTTCTTCCTAGTGTAAAAAGAGACCACTGTAAATGTTGTCATTCTTTCAGACTCAGCTCAACTAAGCATTCAGTTTCCTGCAAAGTGTGGGTGTCTTGGCAAGCCAGGAACCACCAGGGTACCCAGAGTGTTAATGACAACCCAATCACCCCAAATGTCTGGTTCCCATCCTGTACGTTTGCTCTCCTGATGGATACCCACAATTCAAGGGTATTCAGGCCCTGGGTGCTGCCTACCTTTTGGCCTATTTCTTCTGTCTAGAAATGTACTTACCTGTTTTGGAAAGCTTAGGGTCTTTTCACAGACGATCCTGGCACAGGCAGGTGGGTCAGGGACTTCGTAGATTTGGACTGTGGAAGGCGGGGGCCCCTCCACCCAACTCTTCATCTGCTCGTACACAGGAGATGTGGGGTCGAGCAGGGTGGGCACCTCATAGGTCTCCTGGGAGATGGTGGGAGCATTGTCCAGGCCTTTCAGGAAAGGGGGACGAGGCCTGTCTGTGGGGGCCTCCACTAGGATTTGGAGGCGGTTAGCAGGGGCCAGGCCTTGCCTCCCATGGAGCAGACACTTCCACCAGCCTTCGCTTTCTGGTACATTTTGTTCCAGAATGGTCAGGATGTCTCCTCTGCAGAAAGCCAGCTCATCGGCGCAGTCAGGGTGGTTGTCATAAAGTGCCTTGGCCAAGAGGTTCTGGAGATGGGAGAGAAAGAATTCACAGTCATTGTTATTGCCAAGGACCAAGACTGCCACACCACTCGCTTAGAACACAGTCACAGCTGCTCCTTTATATCATTTCCTCCCCTCCCACCCACCTCCCCCCGCAGAGACCCTCGTCCCTGCTGTTTGCCCGATTTATTTCTAGCCATTCTTGGGGAGGTGGGAAGAGTCTCAGGTGAGATGTCAGAACTTCTAGGTAGTCTTACCTATCACTGGCTCAATGGACATGAGTTTGAGCAAGATCCAGGAGATGATGCTACAGTACATGAGTCACAAAGACTTGGACACCACTGAATGACTGAACAAATGACCCACCAGAGGTATACGGTAGATGGCAGCCTAGCGCAGAACTAGTTTGAAATCCTGGCTCTGACTTCCTAGCTCTGTGCCCTTAAGTAAATTAGCCACTATCTTTGGGCCTCAGTGTCCTTGTCTGTAAAATGGGAATAATAGCACTATCTACCTCACGTGGGTGTGCTCAGTCACTCAGTCATGTCCGACTCTTTCCAACCCTTTGGACTGTAGCCTTCCAGGCTCCTCTGACCATCGATTCTCCAGGCAAAAATATTGGAGTGGGTTGCCATTTCTTCCTACGGGAGATCTTCCCGGCCCTGGGATTGAACCCACGTCTCTTTAATCTCCCGCACTGCAGGCAGATTCTTCCCATTAGCACCACCTCTGTCTCACAAAGTTATTAATTAAATGGGTTGATATGTATAGAAAGCTCACTGAACAGCGCCTGGCACTTCCTAAGTTCTCCATAAAGCTTGGCTGCAAACTGTCAAAACGATTCTATTGCTATTTTCCTGGTTGTTGCTTTTCTCCTGGCTGGCCTTGGAAGCTCCATGACTTTGGGGACCACATCTTGCTCAATTTGCTGTTCTCTCGCAGCACTGAGCATGGACCCAGGCTCAGAGCAGAGGCTCCATTTATGCTCATTTATTCACGTGCAGTGAAGCAAAGACACAGAGGGTGAGTGACTAGTCTACACAGCCAGGATCAAAATACATACAATCTCTTAATTCTCAGGCCCAGACTCTTTCTGTAAGCTACATGGCTCTCAAAAAATCCCAAACAACAACAACAAAAAAACCCCACCTGTTATAATGACAGCAATGGTACTCTACTGCCTACAAATACCTAACTCCTCAAATACCCCTTGACCTGATTTTAACCGTTTTCCGGTTCCCTCATTAATTAATCAGTTTAATAAAATCCTTGACGTGAGTTCATTTCATATTTGCATGAGAGTTATGATTTTACCTTTTTGAAAATGAGACTTTGTTCACACTGGGGAGAAAAAGGAAAGCAAAGTACAGTCTCCAATCTATCATCACAATTCCCATGAAATATATCTAATGCAGTCTGAGAAGAAAAAACCCATCATCTGAAATGTGCTTCCATTTGTCTGGAAATAAGATAGCATGTGTGTTTAGGCAGAGCAGTTGTTTCAACACGGCAGTTGCTGGGAAGCGCCCAGATTGGCAGCAGCTTAGCTGGTGGACTTGCCTGTTTCAAAAAGGGATACTTGCCTGGAGAACAATTGCCTTGTGTGATCACCCGCCTGATCAGGCACCCACAACTGTCCAAAATGGACATTGACAGTCTTGCTCTAGAGACATGGTTTACTTTCCATGGACAGTCTGCAATCTTCAGAGTGACAGCCCACACCCTAAAGGGCGTACAGTCTCAGTAAAGGAAAACCCTAACTATGTTGCTAGAACAGGATTCCCGTCAGAATAGTATTTTGTTATAACTGGTCCAGAGACACCTACTGCAGTCAATTAATGTCTCAAAGTTTTGATAATAAAGACTATCAATATTTATGCTATAGAAGAATTAAATACATGTAAGAAATCTTGGAGAATTCCTCTCCCAGAAAAGGGAGCTAACAGTAGACTACACTGAACGGGGAATTATTTTGTGTTGGGGACACTGAAGCTATCATATCAGTTAATTCTCAGGTGCCTCAGAGGTAGGTTTTCTTCTTCCCATTTTACAGACAAGGAAACTGAGGGTCAGAAAGATCAGATGACTTGTCTGAGGTCCCATGGATTCGAAGTTTTCTCCTCATATCCATTATTGCACCCTTCTCCTTCCAATCCGTTCTCTAGACACCAATCAGAATGACATTTTATATGATATTTCTCCTTCTCTGTCTGGTTTATTTCAATTAGTATAATCATCTCTAGGTCCATCCATGTTGCTGCAAATGATGGTATTTCACTCTTTTAATGGTTGAGTAATATCCCATTGTACATATGTACCACACCTTCTTTATCCATTCCTCTGTCAATGGACATTTAGGTTGCATGCATGTCTTGGCTATTGTGAATAATGGTGCGATGAACACTGAGGTGCATGTGTCCTTTTGCATTACGGTTTTCTCCAGCTATATGCCAGGCGAGGGATTGCAAGGTCATATGGTAGCTCTATTTTTAGTTTTTTAAGGAACCTCCACAGTGTTCTCCTTTGGCTGTACTAATTTATTAATACATTCCCACCAACAGTGTAGGAGGCTTCCCTTTTTCTCCACACCCTTGCCAGCATTTATTGTTTTGTAGAGTTTTTAATGATGGCCAATCTGACTGGTGTGACGTGATATCTCATGGCAGTTTTGATTTGTATAGAATGATATTTTTTACGCATAAATCAGACTGTTGGTCTGTTGTTGGAAAATGTCCAATTGCTTAGAACCACCTTTAGGACAAAACCTAAACTCTCTGCCCGATTGCCCGGCTTGAATGACTTCCTCCTGTTAATTTTAGTGCTTCTCTCCTGTTAATTTTCCCCCAGCTGCCTTGTTTTCTTTCTCCGATGCACTAAGATTACTTCCACCTCAGGACCTTTGTCCTTGTGAGTCCTCCTGCCCTGAACACTCTTCACCCATATATTTGCACAACCGACTCCTCATCCTTCAGATCTCAGCTCGAGTCACTTCCTGTAGAAGCTGTCCCTGACCACACGGGAAGGCTGGGCTCCTCTTCCACATGCATCCACGGGACTTAGAGATGAGGGCCCTCTGGGCATGTTAAGAAAGAACCCAGTTGGGACCCAGCCAGACTTTTACGGACAGGCTGGCAGTGTGGGGAGAAATGAGAAATAGCAGCCTTGGGTTTCCCTGGTGGCCGAAGGGTGAGGAATCCGCTTGCCAGTGGAGGAGACATGGCTTCCACCCCTTGTCCAGGAAGATCCCACATGCCCTAGAGCCTGTGCTCTGCAACAAGAGAAGCCACTGCAATGAGAAGCCCGTGAACTGCGACTAAAGAGTAGCCCCTGCTTGCCTCAACTAGAGAAAAGCAACAAAGACCCAGCGCAGCCACAAATAAAAATAAATTAATTAATCTAATTAAACAAAAAAAGAAATAGCAGCCTCAGCAAACAGGTATCGAGCTCTTATGTCCCTGATACTGCGCTGAACGCTTTACAGACAACAGACCGAAGGGACTGATGGGCTACGGCAACAGCGTTCTGATTACAACCATGATCATCACTGAGGCCACCCCCAAGTTATTCTTTGTGTGTGAATGCTCAGTGGTGTCCTCCTCTTCGAGACCACATGGACTGTAGCCTGCCTGGCTCCTTTGTCCATGGGATTTCCCAGGCAAAACTACTGGAGTGGGTTGCCATTTCCTCCTCCAGGGAATCTTCCCAACTCGGGGATCGTACCTGCGTCTCCTGCACCTCCTGCGTTGCAGGAGGATTCTTTACCCCCTGAGCCATTGAGGAAGCCCAAAATACCAACAGCACCCAGTATGCCCATGGTCTCTCATGCAAGTACTAACCAGGCCCAACTCTGCTTAGCTTCCAAGATCAGGTGAGATTAGGGGCTTTCAGGGTAGTGTTAATTTGGGAACATTTGTGTAGATACAAGAGATGAAGCAAGGCGTGTATTTATATTTTTATTCTCTTTGGGCACAAAGACAGTTAGGTCCTAGGTACAACAGAAGAAACCTTCCTTGCCAATTTCCAAAAAGGACCTTTCCCCCAAATGCCCATCTTCATATAACAGTTGGGAGAAGGGAAAGGAGGCTAGGGAAACAGAGGCAAAGAATAAGAGTTTCTCTCTCTGGGGAGACGTTCACATAATGGCCAAATGCAAAGTGCTAATCCACACTGAACTGGCAATGAGCCACGGGAGTAATTAGCTAGCTTCATTTATTCATACATCAGGTTTGAGCATCAGCTATATGTCTGGCGCTCTGGGGAGATAAAGTGGTGAAGAAAACAGTTCCTGATCTCATGTCGATGTATATCCTAGCAGAGGAGACACACTCCAATCACAATAGAAATAAACATAGGGTTTCTACTTCTCTTAAGTGCAGCCAAGAAAAATACAGAAAGTTATGAGGAATCTGAGTGTAGTTGGGAAGTGGGGATGGATAAGGGCTTAGGGAACATTTTCCTGAGAAACTGGCCATGGAAGTTGCAATCTGGGAGTGAGTAGAAATTAATCGGATTGAGAAAAGGGGAGAAATCATCCAGGCAGAGGAAGAGAAATGGGTGAGGGAGGGAGTGAGTTTGTGTGTTTGTGTGAAGTGTATGGTGAGTCAGGGAGCTGAAAGATGCCCAGGCTGTCTGGTTGTTGCTATTGAGTTGCTAAGTTGTGTTCGATGCTTTTCCAATCCCATGGACTGTAGCCCAACAGGCTCCTCCATCCATAGGATTTCCCAGACAAGAATACTGGAGCAGGTTGCCATTTCCTTCTCCAGGGGGATCTTCCCAACCCAGGGATCAAACCTGTGTCTCCTTCATTGGCAGGTGGATTCTTTACTGCTAAGGTATCATGGAAGCCCTGATCAGGTTGTCTGGAGAGAAGTAAACAAAAGCCTGGGGCTTCCTTCAATATTGGTTGATGTTTCTAATTTCTGGATGGGAAGGGGATTAGATGGAGCTGGTGTGAAGCCAAAGAAGCTCATCAAAGCCAGTGGTGGTCCAGTCCAGGTGGGAGGGGCCTGAGGCTCTGAGGACGG